TCAATTCAAGAAAAAATGCACTTATGTTAAGAAAAAAATACTTATTTAGATTTACATTTTTTTGCAGTGTGTAAATGTGGATTTTGGCTTGATATGTTTGTGTAGGTATGTATATCTTTGTTTACACGTATGTATGTAGATATATAATTGTGTATATATGTATTTTTTATGTGTGTGTGATAAAAAAACATAGAAGTCTAACAGGAAGGTTTCTCTACTTTAAGTTTATTCAGGTACAATTAAAGGGAGAGGTGGGATAAAAAATAAGTTTTACTTCTTCTACGCCTAATAAACTGTATGAAAGACAACCTGCTGGCGTTGGCTCTAAATATTCATTCACAGCCTGATTATATAAATAATAAAAACATGCTTCATTGTCACACTCCTCTCATATTCAGTATTTATTGTATTAAATAATCTGCTATTGTAGCTGTAAAAGGCATCAGACACAACGTCCCTGTCAGCCATCCTGACTTTGGTTTATTAATATTCCTCCTTTTTCTGTGGAAAACATGGATTTACATTGATTTAGCATTAATTTAGCTCTTGCTGCCTTAAAATGAATTTACTGACTTGATGCTCATTGTGTTTACCTTAAAGTTTCATATATTATCAGGTTATATTCCTAAACCAAAAACACCCAAATATAGTTAATAACAAAATAAGGCTATATACTCCAGGCATTTGTCCTAATAGATTCTTTATATTTCTTTTTGAGCCTAAATAGAAATCCAGCACTGGGCTGACATAAACAGACATGGCGCCCTCTACTGGTGGTACGGCTGAACTACCAGAAAGCCATATGGTTTCCATTGGTGCAACTACTAAATATGTCATTAAAGCGTTGAGCGTACTATAATGCCTCACGATAAAACAACAGCTTGGAGGATAGAACTTAAAAACAGACCAGTAACACTGTTAGCAACAATATGTCCTTAAATCTCCATCAAATTCACAGCAACGTTAACGTGCTTGCTGAGCTTTAGCTCCTGATTCAGTGACCTCCAAAGGTGAGTTTTATCCGTCTTTTAGTCAAACACCTTCTTGCACCTTTTCGATTTGATCTGGAACTTTTCGTTTTGGTTTTTAAACACACTAGG